ATCAATTCGTGGTGCATGATACAGAGACGAGTCTCTGTGTTCTTAACTCTACGGCGCAACCATCATATCACCACAACCATACATCACCGTACATCACCACACCACTATACATCACCACACCACCACTATACATCACCACACCACCACTATACATCACCACACCACCACTAGACGTCACCACAGCACTGTACATCACCACACCACCACCACTATACATCAACACACCACCACCAACAACCACACAACGTTACACCAGCTGGCACCGTTACCTCTGTGTTTCCTGTTGTGGTCGTTTCATTCCCCCAGGTGTACAGAACGTGCCTGAAGGCGGAGCACTGCAGCGTCAGGAATTCTACGCTTCAGTCACCCCCCCCCGTCCCCCCCGTCCCTCCCCTCCACTAACAGGTGTTCTGCCAACCCGTGTCGTCTTCCCCTTCTGAAGGTGAACCTCGACCGCCTTACCTCTCCTCACTCCTCCATAACACTCCAGCAAAACCTTTACATATATATATATATATATATATATATATATATATATATATAATATATATATATATATATATATATATATATATAATATATATATATATATATATATATATTTGTCGTGCCGAATAGACAGAACTTGCGATCTTGGCTTAAATAGCAACGCTCATCTTGCGATATAGGACAAGCAAAAATTTGTGTATGCAATAATTTCGCCAAAATCATTCTGAACCTAACGAAAAAAATATATTTGATTGTGTTTGTTTAGTACTAAATTATTGTAAACGTATTTAAAATATATTTAGTTGGGTTAGGCTAAAATAAATTGCTCTTGTTATAATAAGGTTAGGTAAATTTTCTAAGATTCTTTTGGTGCAAAATTAAAAATTTTTACATTAACATTAATGAAAAAAATATATCTTTAAACGTATAAGAGAAAATTTCAGAAAGGACTTAATTTTAAATGAGTTCTTGCTAATTGACCAGTTTTACATATTCGGCACGACATTATATATATATATATATAATATATATATATATATATATATATATATATATATATATATATATATATATATATATATATATATATATAGAGAGAGAGAGAGAGAGAGAGAGAGAGAGAGAGAGAGAGAGAGAGTAAAAAAAAGCGCTGAGCAATCTTTCAAGACACGATCTTCAGAAATGAAGGAGAGACTTTGTGACCTTCTAAAAAAAAAAAAAAAAAAGAATTGTCTGACCTTTTAAAATAAAGAAAAAAACTGTGTGACCTGGACAATATGCGTTTCGCCAGCCAATGGCTTCTTCAGTCCAGCACCAAGAAAAACGGAGGAAGATGAGGGGGAATCTGAGGTGATCAGTCCCTCAATCCATCAGTCTTGATAAAAAACGTTTCCAGAATAAAAAAAAAAAGATTGTTAAGAGTCGCCCCAGAGTCTCAGTTATCAACTTGTCAGATTTCTGTACCATTTATACAACACTGGAGAATACAACACTGAAGAATACAACACTGAATAATACAACACTGAAGAATACAACACTGAAGAATACAAAACTGAAGAATACAACACTGAATAATACAACACTGAAGAATACAACACTGAAGAATACAACACTGAATAATACAACACTGAAGAATAACACTGAAGAATACAACACTGAAGAATACAACACTGAAGAATACAACACTGAAGAATACAACATTGGAGGCTACTGCACTAAACTCAAAGTGTCACTGGAAGGGTTTCCTTGCAAAGCTCCGCCTCCAGTGGAGATGTTATCACTGTTGTTGTGTTGTTGTTAAAGATGCCTGGAGGGCCCTGGGAGAGCATGTCCCACATTCCTCAGCCATCTGACCCAGAAACTAGAGTCTCTCTCTTTACGCCCTTACTGACTCATGAGATGTAACGGTGTAGTGGTCGTAGTAGGCAGCACATCCCCCTACCACCACCACAACCACCTCCTCCTTCTGCTTCTGCTCCCCCTCCCCACCGTTCTCCATCACCGCCTTTATCCCTCTCCAACACTCCTCATGGAGTTTCATAATCATGCTTCTCCAACACTACCCATCGCTGCTCCACCATCCTCCAACACTACCATCCTCCATCACCATCATGCTCCACCATCTCTCACCCACATTCGTAACTTGACAACTTTACACGACCCTTCAAGTTGTGCCGCAACACTTACATTTCCCCGTAAGTAACTCAGAGCCACTTAGAACAAAGCAAGCCAACGTTTCGCCCAACGAGAGTTTTGCCAACTCCTAACTCCTCCCATTGAGCAAAATATTTTGTTAAAACATTCCTCTGTGCTGAGTATCTTTTTAATAAAGATACCCAGGTGTTTTTTGAGTATCTTTTAAATAAAGATACCCAGGTGTTTTTTTCAGTATCTTTTAAATAAAGATACCCGGGTGCTTTTCTGAGTATCTTCTAAATTAAGATATCCAGGTGTTTTTTCCGAGTATCTTTTAAATAAAGATACCCATGTTTTTTTTAATACTCAAATGTTGCATGTGTTTAATTCGCCCACTTGTCAACATTCTATTACAATAAAATGTAATAATTACTCATATATGTGAATACTCTGCCATATATTGACTCATTGATCTTTTGTTGACACAAGGATCAGTCCTGGTGAGGGAGTGTCCGTGTTATCATTCATAATTCAGGCGTCTGCTTGTCTGCAGGCATCAAGAGGCGTCTGCTTGTCTGCAGGCATCAAGAGGCGTCTGCTTGTCTGCAGGCATCAAGAGGCGTCTGCTTGTATGCAGGCATCAAGAGGCGTTTGCTTGTATGCAGGCATCAAGAGGCGTTTGCTTGTATGCAGGCATCAAGAGGCGATACCATCGCCTCAAGAGGCGTTTGCTTGTCTGCAGGCATCAAGAGGCGTTTGCTTGTCTGCAGGCATTAAGAGGCGTTTGCTTGTCTGCAGGCATCAAGAGGCGATACCATCGCCTCAAGAGGCGATTGCTTGTCTGCAGGCATCAAGAGGCGTTTGCTTGTCTGCATGCATCAAGAGGCGTTTGCTTGTCTGCAGGCATCAAGAGGCGTCTGCTTGTCTGCAGGCATCAAGAGGCGTCTGCTTGTCTGCAGGGATCAACACTACCAAGGACCAAAGAGGAATGTCAAGTTCATTGCTTGAGTCCCGTTACGCTAGTCAATGAAAGCTTCGCGGTAGCTGTGTGAACCCGTCAGACCACCGCTGGCAGACCATTGTTGCGGTAGTGGGAGGTTAGAAGTCGGGATTTGTGGTGTTAGGGGGTTAGTAGTGGGTGTTAGTGGTAGTAGTGTTGGTGGGTGTTAGTGGTGGTCGTAGTGAGGAGTGGCTTGTGACTGGGTGGTGTTGAAGAGAGGCAAGGGTCGTTCCCCCACACCAAGGAAGTCTCGTGGCTTGGATCACTTCCTTACAGCTTATTGAGGTCACCAACACCCCCTCCCTTCCTCTCTCTCTCTCTCTCTCTTCTCTCTCTCTCTCTCCTCTCTCTCTCTCTCTGTGTATAAGTGAATATTCTAATCTATTTTACATCTCTAGCAATTACATGTCACATACATACAATATATATATATATATATATATATATTAATACGTGTCTAAGACAAAAGATAGATCCGCATTTATTGATTCTGTATTATACTTGTATGGAAATTGTATATAGTTACAGAGTATGAGGTGTGGCCCAGAGTGCAGCACTGCTCGGTGTACGTACACAGAGTGCACAGCCTGTCCGCGTGCATAGGGCGTACCCATGCACAGCGTGTCCAAACAGAGCGTGTCTCTGGCTCATCTCCAGCATCAGTACCGTTTCAAGTAACGGAGTTCACCCACACCCACCTTCCCACCCCCCACCCACACCCCACCTTCCCACCCACACCCCACCTTTTCACTCACACCCCACATTCCCACTCACACTTCCAAACGCTAACCTCTCACACTTCAACACTTCCCACCCGCCACCTCCAACTATCTTCTCTAAGCCTCCCACCCACACTTCTCTTCCCTTCCCTCTTTTCCAGTCTCTTCGTGAGTTGTTTCTTATTCCCGTCTAGTCACGTCTCTTCAGCTTTATTTCGTTTCGTGGTCTGAAAGTCGGAAATTTTCACAACGTGTACACTTCTGTTTACACAAGTTGTACATTTCATGTGAGAAACATAGATACGTATTAACTGATTTAAAAACAAGGAAAGCATCAGAAAGAAAAACTACTACGCAACATTTTGTATCACACAACTACAGTAGTGTAGAAAAAAAATAGCGAGGTTTTACGTTCCTCGGGTCTCGGACCAACTCTCCTAAACATCACAATTTTTACAGCAGCCACGAAATACACAGGAAAGAAACGTGTATGTTGAGTGTATGCAGAATATTTCCCTGCCATCGTTCATGTTGCAGTGGACAGAAAGAAAATAACAGCAATCCTGCCAGAGTGCAAAACGTTTAACATGGATGTTGATGTTAACCAACTTACTCCCCTGATGTCAAGGTGTCCAACTAAACCATAACGGATTGAAGGATACTATGTAGTTGGTTGACTGGGTTTGAAGACTGTCGACTACACGAGGGTCATGAAGGCTTCATGTAACCTGTTCACCACCAGTCAAGAACACTTTAATACATGAAGTAGGGATTTAAATTAAGCAAAGCGTATACGCACTGAAAGACATACGCCTGTGTGTACGTGGAGTAATGTTTGTGGGCAGACAAACACCCATGTTAGGAGTGGATAATGTTTGTCTGTGCCGTGGTTTGGTGGGTAAATGGGAATTTAAAGCCTACCAACTACACGAAGATCAGCATATATAAAGGCTGAGAGAAATACATCTCAGGTATATATATATATATATATATATATATATATATATATATATATATATATATATATATAATATATATATATATATATATTATATATATATCTCCTGTGTGTATCTCAATACAGTGAAATACCTTGGAGACAAGGTTGGTTGCTACAAGGTACTGAGGAAGAGTTGCTTGGCAGGTATGTGTCTCACCTTGCGTCGTGTGTGTGTGGTGTTGTAGCGGAGGTGAGAGCGGCAGTGGTACTGGCACCTCGGTGTCTTCTTTACAAGTGAGGAACCCTCGTGCTGCTCCCACACTTTACTTCTTCACTCAACCCCAATTCCCTACTCCCTCCCCCTCCTGCCCCCTCCTCGGTTTCCATCGTTCTTCGGACGATTTCTCGGGGGTTCGGTTTCGTTTAGGTCTCTTCTATGAGGGCTCAATTTGTTTTGGACACTTCTAAGATTCTTCGATTTATTTTCCAGGACGCTTCTAAGAAGGTTCAATTGGTTTTACACATTTTCAATGGGTTCGCTTTTTTTTCGAACGCTTATAAAAAGGGTTCAGTTTGATTCCGATCCTTCCAGAGAAATTTGGTTGAACGAATTTTCCAGAAATCCAATTATATTTAAATAAATGTATTTGTTACGTTATTATTGTAAAATAATAAAGTAATCAGGTAGTTTTTTTGTGAGCAAAGAAAAAATATTTCTTATGAAAGGAAAAAATCGTGAGTAAAGGATTTATTTTAGATTTTTTTTGGTGTGTGAGCAAAAGAAACAAATCTGTTAGTAAAAACAATTTTTTTGAGAGAATTTATTTAATTTGATTTTATATATATTTTTAATGGGGTATTGTACTTATTGCTTTAGTATTAGGGAGGTTTTTTCTTTATTCGGAAAGAACATGATGGAATTATATACAGGATATATACACCGAGAGGTGTATACACACAATGTATATACAGAGAGAATTCACTCTAATCCCTTCCGTAGGTATTATTCTTGTCTAGCGGTGAAAACGTTACGAGAAGCCTCCATGACGTCTCGTATACTCGACTGGCTTGAAACCCCCACTAACCATCCACTTGGAATAACATTTGTTGAGAGGAAATATTGACATCCAGTGGGCAGACTCCAGCCAGCGGGCCACCAGCAGGTCTGCCCACGTTTACAACGACGATTTAAAGTCGGTTCATAGAACCGACTTGTTTATAAATTAGACACATGTACAACACGTTTCCACAGTAAAGATATCCAAGGGGGTGTACATGTGTCTAGTTTATGGAGGGAATGTTCAGTCGAAGTCTTGGTTGTCCTTCGACAAGGATGGATATGTTAAGGGCTACCCATGAAACTGAAGACAGATAATGGTGTTTTCACAGTGCAATTGACAGGCTTAAGCTTGCCCGAAGTCAGGCTTAAGCTTGCCCCCAAATGCTCAGCATAACTATGGGCTTTCTGCATGCACAACTATATGCTGCCCCTCTCTTACAAACATTGTATCATGCTGAAATAAACATTAAATAAGCGGTGAAAGAAATTCTTCTATACAAGAGGAAAAATCAGGAAAAAAACAGAGGTTGCTGAGTAAGCTTTCTTTAGGAGGGTCGAAGATTTATCGGGTTATGATTTGGTAAATCTCTACAGAGACAGAAACGTGACTTGATAAAGCTCTACGTAGATCGAAAGGTGATTTGATGAGGCTCTACGCAGAACCATACTTGACTTGAAAAAGCTCTACACAGAGAGAAACGTGACTTGACAAAGCTCCACACAGAGCGAAACATGATTTGATGAAGCTCTATACAGACAGAAACATAACCCACTAAAGCTCTACACAGAGCGAAACGTTACTTGAGAAAGCTCAACACAGCGAAACGTAAAGTGATAAAGCTCCATAGAGAGCAAGAATTTTGTTCTAAATTAAAGCTAGCTCCCTCACACACACCTCTGTCATGAAGAGAGAGAGAGAGAGAGAGAGAGAGAGAGAGAGAGACCAAAAGTAACTTATGTTGACTCAGATGTTTACACATACTGCAGTCGAACAATGTGGAGAAATGTCACTTGATGGAGATGAGTGAAAGTGCACACACATGTCTACCGGAGGTGGGAAAGGACATGTCTGGTGGTATTAGGATCACCTTGAGAGAAAGCTCTTGAGAGGGTTACGGTAGTTTGCTGGGTCGATGGATCAATCGGCCGCTAGTGGGTCAGCTTTGTCCGTTGTACTGTCCATGCTAAGAGCTTTCAGTTTTTGTTGGCTATTACTGTTATTATTATTATTATTATTATTATTATTATTATTATTATTATTATTATTTTATTATTATTATTCAGTGTATATACATCGAAGGATAAACACCTCTCGGTGTATATACACTCAGAGGTGTGTATCTTATATATATTATATATATATATATATATATATATATATATATAATATATATATATATATATATATATATATATATATAAATATATATATATATATATATAGGGACCTTGCTGCCCTAATAGTTAGGTGTTACGATACACCTTAAGGTCACACACAGCCTTCACTGCCCCTGATCTATGCTGTGTTCCAGTAAGAGTTAGTCACACACTACCCTCTTCATCAGCGCTGTGTTCCTTGCGGTTCTAACTTGAATTCAGCGCACATTCCGCTTTCCTTGGCAACTTAGTGAGGCGGACATTCCGTTAGACACTTGGACAATGTTCACCCACTAACGCCTTCAGCACCGCCTTCCTTTAGGCTCTGTAATACAACAATTATCTTCTTTTCTGTTTATTTTTTTCTTTATAAATGGCTGTGATAATTTTTTGAGAACTATTGACTGTTTTTACTTGTCTAGATAAATTAACATTTTAACCCAATGATGGAGTTGGAATGATGATTAGGAACTGAAACCTCAGTAATGTTTATAAAGTTTAAACATGGCCACAGCACATAGTGATCTGCCAGGTGGTCACGACCCAGGGTGACGTCACGACCCAGGGTGACGTCACGAGCCAGGGAGACGTCACGACCCAGGGTGACGTCAGGACCCAGGGTGACGTCAGGACCCAGGGTGACGTTACGACCCAGGGTGACGTCACGACCCAGGGTGACGTCACGAGCCAGGGAGACGTCACGACCCAGGGTGATGTTACGAGCCAGGGAGACGTCACGACTCAGGGTGACGTCAGGACCCTGGGTGACGTCAGGACCCAGGGTGACGTCACGACCCAGGGTGACGTCACGACCCAGTGACGTCACGAGCCAGGGAGACGTCACGACCCAGAGCGACGTCACGACCCAGGGAGACGTCACGACCCAGGGTGAGGTCACGAGCCAGGGAGACGTCACAACCCAAGGTGACGTCACGACCCAGGGTGACGTCACGACCCAGTGTAACGTCATGATCCAGGGTGACGTCACGACTCAGGGTGACGTCACGACCCAGTGTAACGTCATGATCCAGGGTGACGTCACGACCCAGGGTGACGTCACGACGAGTGTAACGTCACGACCCAGGGTGACGTCACGACAAGTGTAACGTCACGACCCAGGGTGACGTCACGACCCAGGGTGACGTCACGACCGAGGGTAACATCACGACCCAGGGTAACGTCATGACCCAGGGTAACGTCACGACCCAGGGTAACGTCACGACCCAGTGTTACGTCATGACCTAGGGTGATGTCATGACCCATGGTAACGTAATGATCCAGTGTAACGTCACGGCCCGGGGTGACGTCACGACCCAGGGTGACGTCACGACCCAGGATGACGTCACGATCCTGGGTAGCGTCATGACCCAGGGGAACGTCACGACCCAGGGTAATGTCATGACCCTGGGTAACGTCACGACCCAGGATAACATCACGATCCAGGGTGACGTCATGACCCAGTGTAACGTCACGACCCAGGGTAACGTCACGACCCAGGGTAACGTCACGACCCAGGGTAACGTCACGACCCAGGGTAGCGTCATGACCCAGGGTGGCGTCATGACCCAGGGTAACGTCACGACCCAGGGTGACGTCATGACCCAGTGTAACGTCACGACCCAGGGTGACGTCACGACCCAGAGTGACGTCACGAGCCAGGGAGACGTCACGACCCAGGGCGACGTCACGACCCAGGGAGACGTCACGACCCAGGGTGAGGTCACGAGCCAGGGAGACGTCACAACCCAAGGTGACGTCACGACCCAGGGTGACGTCACGACCCAGTGTAACGTTATGATCCAGGGTAACGTCACGACTCAGGGTGTCGTCACGACCCAGTGTAACGTCATGATCCAGGGTGACGTCACGACCCAGGGTGACGTCACGACAAGTGTAACGTCACGACCCAGGGTGACGTCACGACCCAGGGTAACGTCACGACCCAGTGTAACGTCACGACCCAGGGTGACGTCACGACCCCGTTGACGTCACGACCCAGGGTGACGTCACGACCCAGGGTAACATCACGACCCAGGGTAACGTCATGACCCAGGGTAACGTCACGACCCAGGGTAACGTCACGACCCAGTGTTACGTCATGACCTAGTGTGATGTCATGACCCATGGTAACGTAATGATCCAGTGTAACGTCACGGCCCAGGGTGACGTCACAACCCAGGGTGACCTCACGACCCAGGATGACGTCACGACCCTGGGTAGCGTCATGACCCAGGGGAACGTCACGACCCAGGGTAACGTCATGACCCTGGGTAACGTCACGACCCAGGATAACATCACGATCCAGGGTGACGTCATGACCCAGTGTAACGTCACGACCCAGGGTAACGTCACGACCCAGGGTAACGTCACGACCCAGGGTAACGTCACGACCCAGGGTAGCGTCATGACCCAGGGTGACGTCATGACCCAGGGTAACGTCACGACCCAGGGTGACGTCATGACCCAGTGTAACGTCACGACCCAGGGTGACGTCATAATCCAGGGTGACGTCACGACCCAGGATAACGTCACGACCCAGGATAACGTCACGACCCAGGGTAACGGCATGACCCAGGGTAACGTCACGACCCAGGGTGACGTCATAACCCAGGGTGACGTCACGACCCAGGGTAACGGCATGTCCCAGGGTAACGTCACGACCCAGGGTGACGTCATGACCCAGTGTAACGTCACGACCCAGGGTGACGTCATAACCCAGGGTGACGTCACGACCCAGGATAACGTCATGACCCAGGGTGACGTCACGACCCAGGATGACGTCACGACCCAGGGTGACGTCACGACCCAGGGTAACGTCACGACCCAGGATAACGTCACGACCCAGGGTGACGTCACGACCCAGGATGACGTCACGACCCAGGGTGACGTCA